TAGAGATAGAGGTATGGTTGTAGTGAGTGACTATGGGTAAAATTGTATGCAGATTCTGATTATGCAATAATATGCTCATATATGTAAGTGGTTAAGGTTGTAAGGTAGGAGTTTTGGCAGTTTTGTTGCGCACAACAGCCTGGACCACCACATCCCCCCCCAAATTAATGCTGTCCGCAGCATCCCTGGTGTAAGCAAGAAAACTGCCCCAAGCCTCTAGTTGACTAATTTTATTTCATTAATATGTATTGATTTGTAACTGATATCCTACTGATTCTCCTTTTCTTCATGACTTGGTCCTTCTGTTCATCTGATTGGGTTTCCACTTTGATTGAGTTTCTGCCGTCCAGGTTTTTCTTCATTGTAACTGATTTCTTCCTCTTATTCCCAAATTATAATATACGTTTGTCCTTGTTATTCTCCTCGTCTTGTTCTCCGCCTGCCACGTCCAAATCAAAGGCTCCAAATACGACTCTCTTTCATTCTATTTCATGGGTATTAGTCCAAGGAAAAGGCTGGTGGTTGATTTATTTGAAGGCTGTTCCAAAAAGAAAGGTCTCCAACCGCTGAGTGGAATGGGCTTTTGAATACACGTTGTAGGACTCCTGGGACAGATAGACACGGTAAAGTATATGTATATCAAAAGATCCCTTGAGGGGGAAATAAATTGCAAATAGGTTGAAAGGCTATTACAACTTACGGGTGGTTTGAAAGACCTGCCCCTCTAAATGTACTAAACAAATAACTAAGAGTCTTGTAATCAATATTTAATAATGTATGGCTGATTCCAAGATAGATCTTACTTTTGTAAAGTAATCTCTATCAGACCTAGATCACGTATCAATCTACTAATGAATCTGTTACAACTTCAGGTTAATAATGGAAACTGTGGTGCTGATGACTTGAGCACGAAACAGATACTTTGTTATAGAGTTTGTTAATGATCTCTTCCTCAAACAATTTCTTGCTAAGGCACTTTAATCAAAAACTAGAGCTCCGGTACTAATACTACTACTACTTGTTATTGGTTAATTGTTAATGTACTACTACTTATATGATGACTACTACTACTAATATGCTTCAAATTCCGAACTCTTTGTTGGTTTCACGCTTACAATACTGTACTAATTCACTACTTATCACTAACTCACTCACTTACTAACTTATTCTTCAACTTGGGTGATCAAACTTACCGCAGTAGGCTGATGGGGAGAAGAGACTTTCTAGTGGGGAGAGGTCCTTCTTTTATATTGAAGAGTGAGGGATTTCTGCTGCAGGGGACTCCTTGTGAGGGAATATTGCTGCAGGGGATCTCACCTGCACAGCCTTTGCGCACAGCCTCCAAACAAATAGCGCAGCTCATGCTGTGCTAGGGAACACTTAACTCCAGACCTTGTCACATAATATGCATGCAAGGGAGCACACAAGCGCAGCATGATGTCATGCATTGCCAGGCAACCAAGCCATCTTCCAGAACCAAGCGCAGCATGATGTCATGTGTCGCCAGGCAACCAAGCCATCTTCCAGAACACTCTGCATAGGCAGTCCCAGCCTGCCAGACCTGCTGTTTATCTCCTTCCACCCAGGATTTGGGGGTCAAAGCCTCTCCTCACTCCTTCCTTCCTCCCTCCGCCTCAATATTTTTCCTCCCTTCACTTTCCACAATCCGTACCCTGTACCCTTACGTAAAACATAAAGTACCCTTATTACACACCGCTCCTCCGTTCCATTCCTGGTTGAGACATGTTCTCCCACTCCTCTCCACGTATATACTTCCGCTCCTCCGTTCCATTCCTGGTTGAGATATGATCTCCCACTCCACTCCTCGTATGCACACCGCTCCTTTGTTCCATTCCTGGTCGAGACATGTTCTCCCAATCCACTCCTTGTATGTAATCCAGTCCGTATATACCACACCTCATCCATAATGATTGTTCCTTCTCTTGTAATGATTGTCACATGTATGTAACTATGCTATCCCAACACCTCTGCTGTATGCTTTTGGCATTGGAACAGGCACAGCACACCACATCCCCCCCCAACTTAATGCTGTCCGCAGCATTCCTGTGGAAATGCCAAAAGACCATCGATCCTCGTAATTTCTAACCAAGACTTCCGCAATAACGTCCTTCGTTTTCAAGATCCAATTCGTACCAAGTCCACTTCTATCCGTAAATAAGTCCATCGCCGTCCAATATCATATATTCAATCCGTATTCCGTTCCATAAGATAAACGCTACAACCTAATCCAAGACGCCCATGAGTTATTTCAAACTATTTCATCTCACCCGCTCCAAGAAGAGGTTGTTGGCCAAAAATCCAGCAAGGATTAATTAAACCACTCAAACACTTCACTCTTTCTCTCTTCACTATCACTATCACTCAAACTCTCATTCCAATGTATAATTCTTGCTGGTCTTATGAATCTTCAAACGTCTTGATGTATAAATATTACACGTTAATTTTCCGTTCCACGCCGTCCATGTTGTTGGTTTGTTTCTTCTCCTTCCAAGTCTGTCTGTTTTTCCATCATCCTGTTAAATTTCCAAGTCACCATGTCCTTTTGTCCATTCCTCCCAGTGCTCGTACCGCCGTATTCTTTTCTTCTGTATTTATTTACTACTTACTAATTCATCTTCTAACGTTTTTCTACAAAGTACTAGATTTTTAATTTGCTTATTTTCCATTTTTTTTGATTTTGATTAATTTTTATTAAATTTGTTTGAATTTGACTAATTTTGTTTGAAAATGATTAATTTCGATTAACTTTTGATTAATTTTGTTTGAAATTGATTAATTTCTCCCACCCTATTCCCTCAGCTAAACAAAGATCCTGTTTGCCTACCAAATGCTTTCCAATTAAATCAACATGTCTATCTTACTAACTACTTCATAGCTCCTATTCATTGTCCCCACTTACACCATCCTCGTCATTCTCCTCTTCCTCTTCTTCTTCCCCTCCGTTGTCCTCGTTCCCATCTTCTTCTTCTTCTTCTTCTTCTTCTTCTTCTTCTTCTTCTTCTTCTTCTTCTTCTTCTTCTTTGTCCTCGTCTCCTTCCTCTTCCTCCGTCTCCCCTCGTGGATAAAATTTCTTAATGTGGTTGGCTGCAAAACTCCGGGCCAGTATGGTCCCATCTAATTCCTCCAATATATATGGGCCCTTTTTAACTTGTTTCACAATCCTATACGGTCCGTTCCATTTATGTTTAAACAGGTTTCCCCACTGAGTCTCCAGTGCTTTATTGTATACTAACACCAACTCTCCTGGCATGAGAGGCTTCCGCAGGCAATGAGCCAGCCGCTTATCCCAATACCTAACTGATTGATTACGGGAGGCCTTAATTTTTGCTAGTGCTTCGTCCATCATGTCCTTCCTTGCCAATAATTGTTCTACTCTGGCTTCCAACAATTCCGCCGTTGTCTTGATAGTCGACCAATCCACTGTGAGAAAACTTCCTAGCTCATGATCTACCGGTAATACTGCTATTTGACCAAACTGTAATTCATACGGTGAATACCCCGTCGTCCTCTTTGTCGAAATCCTATCCGCAAAAGTCACCAATGGTAAGTGTTCCTTCCATTTCTTCCCATTCTCCCCGCACATCTTTGTTAAGGCATCCTTGATTTCTTTGTGTCCTCGTTCGACCATTCCCTGCGCTTCTGGATAATAGGGTGTTACCATTCGTAAATTAGTACCAACTCTCTTCATGGCTGCCTGTAATTCCTTCTTAAATTCTGCCCCGCCGTCTACTGTAACCTCCTTTGGTACGCCATATCGATAAATCCATTCTGTCACAAACCAATCTGCCACTTTCTTTGATGTTAACTTTGCCAGTGCTACTGTCTCCGCCCATCCTGAGAAATCGTCTCTCGCAATTACTAAATACTTCCATTGCCCTGCTTTTATGTGTACTGCGTCCATGCTAACCCTCTCGAATAAAGTCGTCTTATAGGTTGCTTTACCCTTTTCTTTTTGTAAATCTTTACTTCTCTTCTGACAACTTTCGCATGATCTTACCCAATTTCTGATCATCTTCTTCATTCCTTCCCACCAATACCGCAGCTTAATTCGAATATATGTCTCTCCCATTCCACGGTGACCAAGGTCTTCATGTAGCGCCTTCATGATCCTCTTCTGCATTCCTGGTTCTGAGACAATTACCTGACTCTGGGGTTCGTTTCTCTTCTTTAACTGTCCGTCCTCAATAAAATAATTGACTGATCTGCGCTTGATTTTTGCAAACTCCTTATCTGAGCAATCCGGTGGTCGTGTAAGTGTCCCTAAGTAATCCTTCATCCTTTTCCAAAATCCCACTTGTCGACTTCCCGCGTTTGCAACCTCCGTAATTACTATACCTACCTCCTTGACTCCAAATCCCGGATGTGGTTTAATCCAACTTTCCTCACCGTCCATCTCCCTAGGAACCTCGTCTTTGTCTGGCGTTGGCCTGGATAACCCATCTGGCATTGTAAAGGTTTTCCCTGCCTTATGTACCAATTCAAATGAGAAAAGCTGAATGAACGCTACCCATCTAGTCATAGGTGCACTTGGAAGACTGGGTGTATTAATCATCTGAATCAAGGCTTTTGCATCTACCTGTAACTCGAAATGTTGCCCCCACAATACTGTTTGCAATTTCTTCAATATTTTATGTACTCCGCAAAGCTCTAACTTAGATTGTGAATATTCTGATTCCTTGTCGGTGAAGCAAACTGATTCGTATAATACTGGTCTATCCACGCCATTCTTGTCTTCCTGCATCAGAACTGCTCCTGCCGCAATGAAACTACAGTCCACTGCAAGCTTGATTTTACCCGCGTTCTCACTGAAATCCAAACCTTTTAATACAATATCTTCTCCCACAATTTTCTTGAGTTTACAAAAAGCCTCCTCACATTCGGCCGTCCATTTGAATTCTGTATCAATCCTAGTAAGCCGCCGTAATGGGGCTGCCACTAACGAAAAATCCTTGATGAACATTCTTACATACACACAAAGCCCCAAAAATTGCCGTACCTCCTTCTTTGTAGTGAGAGGTGGCCAAGATTGGATTTTGTTAAGCTTCTTTGGTGATACGGTTCGGCCTTGATATGAAACTACATGTCCAACTATGTCTAATGCCGGCACGCAGCACGCAAACTTCTCTCCTGAGATAGTCAGCCCTGCCTCTTCGATTCGAAATAGAATCCGTTCCAATGTAATAGCGTACTCCCAGATGAATCTACTTATATTTTGATTCTCCTCCAATCGAGCCCCTCCGTAATCCGATCGTGGTCCCTTAATTCCTCCGTCGTCAATAAATATTCCTGCGTGTTCTGGTAACTCCTCTTGTAGAATCCATGTCATCTGTGCCTGATATACTGCTACCGAATTTGTCGCTCCTTGAGGCAACCGTGTGAGCTGAAGCCTTCCTAACGGTGTCTCAAAGGTAGTGAGAGGCCTTGAAGCTGGATCCAGTTCCCTTTCGTCATATCCGCCCATAATGTCGCCTAACCCGTAACACGCACGTCCTGCAAATGAATCCACGAACTCCTCTATCTTTGGCGGTAGCCCGGCGTCCTTGATAGTTACCTTGTTGAGCTGCTGCAGATCATGCACTATTCGTAATTTACCATTTGACTTAGCCACACAGAAGACCGGACTGGAATAACTAGAAGTGGATTGTTCATATAATCCTGTCCTAATCCTCTTTCGTACGAGTTCAATGAAGTCACTCTGAATTGCTTTTGGTATTGGTATTGGTCTCTGCTGCCACGGTTCGTGTTCAATTACTGGTATCTTGTAAGGTTGCCCATACGAGTGATTTAATATGCCCCTCTCGTCCTCCGAGAACGCAATCGATTTCTCTCTTAACACAATCACATGTTTCAATAATTTCAATTCTTCTTCCGTCAACCATCCAGGAGGTCCAAAATTTACTGCCTTTAATCGTTCTTCTGTTACTCTGCTTGTTTCCTGAAACGTTGGTGGAAATGGGGTGAGCGGGGTTTTGTATGGGTCCCGCGACAATGGTGGTCTTTCAAGTGGTGGATTTAGATCTTGAGGCATGGGTTGGTTAACTGGTCGTATTTTCCATGCTACTCCCTTGTACTTTGCCGCACCAATGTATTTCGCCATGTTGCTTTTCCTATACCCGCTTAGAAAGAAATTGAATCAGTGGTTCATGGAATGTTGATAGAGTTAAGTTACCTACGTCTCTTGTTGGTTAGTCTGATGATGAAGATTGGCAAAAGTAATGTTCACTTGAGCGCATAATCTTTTCTCGTTTTCTGGTGTACTTATTCATGAAAATTTAGTGTGACCCACCCTAACCCTTGGCGAACAAAGCTAATTGCAGCCTACACGTCACAATTTTTTTTTTTTTTTTTTTTTGAATGCCCATTCCGCAGTCCGCAGTCCGCAGTCCGCAGTCCGCAGTCCGCAGTCCGCAGTCCTCAGTCCGCAGTCGCGCAGTCGCGCAGTCGCGCAGGGTGCTCTCCTTGCTCTTATACTCTCTCCTCGTCCTGGTATCCTTACAGCTAGCCTAGCCCCAAAAAAAAACTGGGTTGGTAACCCCTCTAGTAACCGAGTCCGCTATCCGTTCTCCTGTTATCCGACCGCCAGCTAACAACTCCGTGATCGGTGTTCACTCAACCTTAAGAACTGTATGGCTACCTGCAAGAAGAACCGCCATCGCTGGCGATATCCCCCCATCTCACCACCTCAGATCCAGCCAGTTCACTCGGCCATCATGTCGTCTCTTCGGCCTTGCGGTCGAATAAAGGTGAGTCACTTATTCTTCTTCTCAATCAGTGGCTTGGATCCTATAGCTGACTTGCTCTCAACAGCAGGCCCATCTTGATCCCTTCAGCAGTTTGTTCCTTGAGTCGATCGGTCATGGTTCCCTCAGTTTCAAGGTGAGGCCCACTACTCCGATTCCTCCTCCCTTTTTTTTTTTTCCTCATCTTCCCCTGCCACTTATCCTGCTTCGGTTTTTAATTTTTACTAATCCTAGTTGCTAAAAAAAACCCCCGATCGACTTGTATTTTCTTAGCTTATCCTGTCAATGCCCGAGCCTGATCATATGGCCATGGCCGTCGATTCTCCTACCCGCGATGATGTTTCTACTACCTTTACTCCTTCCGATGCTACCCCTATTTTGAATCACCCCACGGTAAGCTGGATATTCTCGTTTTTGTTTGCTCTTACCCCCTCGTATCCGTTGATACTTAGTTATTGCTTTTCATTTTTTTTTTTTTCTGTTCCAGCATGCATATAATGCTCGCCGCGAGTCCCCGATCGAAGCAGACGAAGCACTTGCTCCTCGTTCTCCCTTCGAATCTGTTGCTACCCCCAACACCGCCATTACTGCCGTCCGTGTAAGCTCCCTGTTCTCTGATCCCTACTTAGTCCGTTACCGCTCGATCGCTCCACGCTCTTGACTTGTGTATTAACGCCACCACTTCTTTCTCCTTCCTCCTCTAGCCTAATCGTACTGCCAGCAATGGAGCTCGGCTCGAAGAGAATGCAGTCATCGACCCCCCTCGTGAGGCGACTGATCACACTAATCCAACCCATCAAGCGAGTGTAAGTCGGCTCCGGCTGATAATCTTTACTTCTCAAGTGTCATTCTACGGCATGCTGACCACCGTCTCCCTTTCTTCCTGCACCCTAGCATGCTTACCCTGTACGCCAAGCAACCCAGATGGAAGAGGACGAAGTCCCCAGCTACCCTCCGCCTCCGTATGTACATGCGGTTCGTTTTGCGCTAACCAGTCCTTATACTACCCCGGCTACGGCCGGTCCTCCCCGTTCTATCGTCGATCCTGGTCCTCGCCGCGTGTATTCCACCCCTCGTCATACTGGTTCTGCCTCGCCGGATAGCCCAACTCGTCCCAACGTCCGCCGCCGCCTCTTCGTCACCTCTCCTGCGCCTACCAGGGCCGCGCCTCCGGGTGGTTCGCCCGCGCCTCCTACCGATCCTCCTACAACTCCTCATCCTTCCCCTGCAGGTGATCCCTTCGACATGGATGCGCGATTTAGTGCTCAATTCTTGGCAATGAGCTTCTACAACACCCTCCTGTCTGTGCACGACGTCCTGGGCGACTTAGCCGACGACCATCCCCACTTCCTTCGCCACGAGATCATGCGCTCTGCTACCATTATCGCCGAGGATTGGTTCAACTATCATCGCATCCACTTGTAAGTATCCTATTTTTTTTTATTGTACTTTTAGCATGGTATTGACCGTTCCCTAGCCCTGGCTTCTCTATCTTCCTGTAGGCCTGCCCAGTTTGCCGAGCCTCATTCCATGGGTCACCTGGTGGCCGGTAGCGTCCGGTTCACTGTCCGTTGTCTGAATGCCTTAATCCTTGAATGTCCTGATTTGTACCCCTCCATTCCTCCTCTCTCCCCAACTAGCTGATATCCCTTTGTGAACAAATACAATAATACTACTGATACTCACAGGAATGCCAAAACAAAAGAAACACAAAAGAAAAGAAAAACATACCCTTCTCTTTTCCCTAAGCTAAAACATAAAAGAACCCACCTAAAAAAATCTTGTAGTACCTTCTTAAAAGAAATGCTGTTTTGTTTCCTTTTTATTTTTACCCTGTTTTTCTTACTTGTTTCTCCTGCTATCTGAACCAATGGTTATTACAGCTTGATGATAGCTGCTTCTTCCTAAAAATACCACACCGTCTCTCCTTCTTCTGAGAGACTCCAACAAAAAAATCAACAACCTGAGAAGAGAATAACAAAATCCGTGAGAATACAATTGAAGTTCCAACAAATAGCAGACTGAATAATAGTACAACTTCTACAACTTCTACTTGCCCCCCGTCACCCAATAATTGATATAGTTGAATGCATAACTAAAAAAAACAATTCCTACTAATACAAATAATTCCTAAAGCTTTGAGAAAGAGCACTAGTCCGCAATAGCGGCGTACTCCCAATCTTTCCAGAAGGTTTCAAAGTCTTTTCCAAGTCGTGCCTGCTCGTTACGTAGCACCCATTTAAATGCCTGCCAATCAAATCTTCCAAAAATTCCCACCATTTGTCGAATTAGTTCAGTTAGAAACTCCTCCTCTTCTTTCTCCCGATCTCTTCCTGAGTACCATAACTCCTGGTCAGCAATGGTCATTCTTCCTTCTTTTGTTCCCAAGTACATCGCAAGACGTTCTTCGTCAACAAACCACCACTCCTCTGGCCAAATGTAGGAATTTTCTAGGTATCCCTTTGTTCCATTAGTAGTTAGCAACATTATAAACCCAATGCGTCCAGCTGTGTATCCCGGTAGCTCATCCCAAATTCCTCCCGCCTTAGATTCGTAAGTTTCTGGATACATACGGAGGAACTCTTTAACCGGATATCCATGATCCACGTAATCAGCTGTGATTGTCACCAAATTATAACTTCCCTTACACCTGAAGGCTTCCCACTTCGGAAATGGAGTCCACTCGCTTTGTTCTGTCTTTGTTACTGCCGTATGGTCCTCAGTTTCCCACGTGCTCGGATTACTACTCCACTCATTATTGCACTCTCCGCTATCCTGACTCGCCTCGTTCCTATCCTCGCTCCCGAGTGTGGTATTGTCCCAGTCATGAGCCTCTGTACTTCCTGACCCTTCCTCTTGTCTTGTCAATTCCTTATCTTCTTCCCCTGAGCTGTCCATGAAATCCGCGTAATTTTCGATCGTCATGCTAAAACATTTGTCGGCTATTCTTCGAGGAGGGGCCATTTCCCATCCTGGAATTTTGGGAGAGCAAATAGGGATGCATAGTCTTCCTCCATCCCATAACTCGTAACTCAGTATTTCTCCACGACTCTTTGATAATTCTAAACGTACCTTATGATCTGCTAGGAATGGCCTTCCCAACACTGTATAAACTTTACCTCGAGCAATAAAGAAATTAGCCGCCTTCTCATCCTCCTCATCAATACAAAGATGAACACCTTCCGCTAGCCCCACAATGGGTGTTGAGTGTCCTCCGATTCCCATGATATTCATACTAATTTCACGTGAAGGTAGCTTCAGCTGGATTGCCAAGGTTTCCGGCATAATATTCATTTCAGCTCCCGTATCCACTAGTGCTCTGATTTTCTGGCCAGCAATCCAAACCTCAATGAAACCCAAAGGACAGGCATAAGTAAGTGCATTATTACCTAGTTTCATCCCTTTTTCCCGCGGTTGATGTGGTTCGCTATTGTCAAAGTTCCTATGATCGCACCTTCCTGAGTTCTGACTTCGCTCCCGTGGAATTGAATTGTCTTCTGCTTCTGTCTGTACTTCCTGAAGAAACTTGGGCGCAATTAATAATAATTCCTCCAAGGTAAGTGTGAAACTTTGCTTCAGAAATTTCTTTCTAAGTCCCCCCCCAACTTTAGACTGATCCACGGTTCGGGGAAATACTTCTCTGGCTGACTTCTCTTCTACCCTCTTCTCTGGTGTTTGTGACACAGGTTTCTCTGCTTCTGCATTGTCGCCTTCGCTGCTTTCGTTGTCAGATTCTCCTTCCATCCATGCTCCAGGATAACTTGGCCTTCTCTTGCGCGCTGCTGAGGGATTTTTATTGACTTCCTGATTTCCCGGAGGAGTCTTTGAGATGGATTCCTTGGATTTTCCAGAGGTTTCTGGTTTGGATGCCGGTGGCTGTGCTTCCTTCTCCTTCTCCTTGTTGGTTCGAGCAGACCTTCGCAGGCCAAATCCAATCACATTCTCCTCGTCTTCCTCTCCGTAGTGCATTTCCGGCGGACTCCAGGCTTCCCATCGATTTGTAGAGATCATAGATGCCGTTGGTTCCTGTCTTGGTTGGGGAAACTCATCACTTGTCATCATATTGGCTCTCTTCTCACCTGTCTCCTTGGCTGCATTGGACTTTTCACTGAATTTCCGTACCAATTCTCGAATCGATTCTCCAGTATCGGTAGGGATTATTTCGCGGTTAGAGTAATAAAAGTTTGGTCCTTGTTTGAAAACAAGACGTTTGGTTATGTCTTCATTTAAGTGTTGACAGAACATTGAGGTATGGTCCATTTCCTTGCAATAGAAACACTGAAGTTGTGGTCTCTGGTATGACGGTCCTCCTGGTCCTGGCGGTCTAAATCCTGTACTTGGTTGTCTTGGCGCGGAAAAGTGAGGTGGAAATGGCCTAGCATTTTGATTGGTATTTACTTCCGTGCGTAACTTCTTAATTTCCTCCTCTAAAGCCTTCATTTTGTCTGTTCCGTTGTCTGCTTTTGTCTTGGCTTGAACTTCCCGTTTACTCTCGGATTCCTTGATAGCAGATTTGGTTTTAGTGATACCCACATCCAAGTCATATACCGATAACAAGGCTTCCACGTAGTCCTTCAAAACTTCCAACTTGGGTACCAGCGCCTTTCCGTCCTTGGTCTTCTTCAATTTCTTGTCGTGTGCCAACTCCTTCGCCACGTCCCGTCGCATCTCGGTTGAAATCGCCTTCCAAAGTGGTTCGCCACTTGTCGCATTCACGTCCTCGTAATCCATCTTCGTCAAATACGCCAAAATCTCCTCGAGTTCGCCAATAAATGTCCTGTATTCCTCCTTTGTCTGAATCCCGCCTTTATCCATGTGCTTGCTGACCAATGTCGAAACCGAGTTCTCGTTAAATCGCCTAAGAGGTGTTGCTCGTCCCCATTTCCGAATGAGTTCCTTCTTCAAGAGTTCCCAATCCCGATTCTCGTGTCCTTCCATATTCTCAATACACTCACTAATCTTCTTGTCTTTGATCATGAAGGGTAACTGGAGAGCTACGTCCTGTCCGCCAGCTTTGTGCAAAGAAGCTATCTTCTCCACACGCTTGATGAATAATTCAACTTCTGATCCGTCAAAATCCAAATTTAACTTTCGTGTATCCAAAACTACGCCCTTTTCTTCGTCCGAGAGCTTGATTTCGGATTTCGTCCTAGTCTGACTACTTTCTGATGAAGTTACTGCCAAACCTAGCAAACTTTCTTCTCCTGCGCCAATAGTGGTTTCCATTCCCGCTATTCCAGTGTATGGTGTTGAAGTTGCAAATCGTAAAGATTGTCCTCGTGGCGGTGGAGTTTCCGGTATTGGTACAGCCTGTGGTGCTTTGGATTGCTTTAATAGTGCCATCATCATTTCCTTCATCTGTTGCATTGAATCTTCAAGTTCCGTCATCTTGGCTTGCTGTTTTAGCATCATCGCTGATTGCTCCATGCTCTGTTCCGCCGAATTTGACATTTTCGATTTTTGATTTAATAATTTGCCAAATTGTTCTTCCAAAAATTTCCGCTCCCTTTCTCTAATCTCCTCGTCAATTCTGGGACGGTCCTGTTTGACTCCTTGGGTATCTTTGGCTCGAATCCCTTTGTCTTCACCAATCAAATTCTTCCTTCTTCGGCCAATCGAAATCCTTCCTTCTCGCCAATCGAATCCCTTCGTTTCGCCTATCAAATCCCTTCTTCTCGCCAATCGGAATCCTTTGTTTCCGCCTATTGAATCCTTCTTCTCGCCAATTGAATCCTTTCGTCTCGCCAATTAAATACTTCGCAAACCTCAATCGTATCCTTCGTATCGCCCAATCGAGCGCTCCGTATTACCGCCAAAATCTGCCTTCTTCCCGTTATCCACGATTGATTTGATGTTGAGGTTGATTCACTAGAAAAATGTGATTGATTCGAATGATCTTGCTGAAGGTAATCGGCCACTGTTGGGACACCAGATGTAGGACTCCTGGGACGGATAGACACGGTAAAGTATATGTATATCAAAAGATCCCTTGAGGGGGAAATAAATTGCAAATAGGTTGAAAGGCTATTACAACTTACGGGTGGTTTGAAAGACCTGCCCCTCTAAATGTACTAAACAAATAACTAAGAGTCTTGTAATCAATATTTAATAATGTATGGCTGATTCCAAGATAGATCTTACTTTCGTAAAGTAATCTCTATCAGACCTAGATCACGTATCAATCTACTAATGAATCTGTTACAACTTCAGGTTAATAATGGAAACTGTGGTGCTGATGACTTGAGCACGAAACAGATACTTTGTTATAGAGTTTGTTAATGATCTCTTCCTCGAACAATTTCTTGCTAAGGCACTTTAATCAAAAACTAGAGCTCCGGTACTAATACTACTACTACTTGTTATTGGTTAATTGTTAATGTACTACTACTTATATGATGACTACTACTACTAATATGCTTCAAATTCCGAACTCTGTGTTGGTTTCACGCTTACAATACTGTACTAATTCACTACTTATCACTAACTAACTCACTTACTAACTTATTCTTCAACTTGGGTGATCGAACTTACTTCCGTAGGTTGATGGGGAGAAGGGACTTTCTGGTGGGGAGAGGCCCTTCTTTTATATTGAAGAGTGAGGGATTTCTGCTGCAGGGGACTCCTTGTGAGGGAATATTGCTGCA